GCCCACCTTCTGCCTAAGGAATCCTAAACAGGGACGCTGGCCACCTTGGGAGGACGAAAGGCTTTTGGTGGCACTCACTCTGAGGGCCACACACCTGGCCCCGCCACAAACGCCTGCTGATAATGAAGAACCACCCTCTTCCTTGGGCTTTACTCAAACACTTGAGCCAGGAGAGAACAGAGTGTATTATCGACTGAGTTCTTGTTCAATGCGTCAAGCTTGTTGAAGGCATGGCAGCCCCACTCCTGGCCCAATTAAGTGAACAGAACAGAGCAAATGCCCCCAATTTGATGGCTCTCAGTCACAGCAGCAGCAGCCACCATTCACAGGGCGCTGGCTTCATGCCGGGAATGGTTCCAAGCATCTTCTCCATGTCCGAGGAATGTGCATTGCAGCCCTGCGGGGCAGTTCACAACGTGCACCAGGGAGTTCTGAGGCCGCAGAGTCCAGGCTGTCCGTGGGCCTCGCCACGTAGCCATCCACGTCCCCTGCAGATCACAGCTCACTGCAGGGACAGCAGGCCCCAGGGCTGCCTTGAGGCAAGCTCCCTCCACCGCCTCCTCCTGGCGCCAGACACCAACCCTCACGGTTGCTGCTAACACCTCCTCATCACTCCCAAGGGGCCTGTTCTTTCTGCTCTTCCCGCCACTTGCTCCCTGCAGCCTGTGTCCGGCTTGGAGGACGCTCACATCAACGCCAACACACATGTGATCACCACCTTCAACGGGGCCTGATGCCTAGAAGTCTAATTATCAGAATGTTGGATTCCTGTGCTTGCTGGAGAATTTCTTCCCATTGTGAAGGGAAGGAGGTAAAATTCTAGGTGCCTGCAATAACCTCATTTCTGTAGCTAAGAGGCTTCAGCAGTAGCAAAAACAAAAGCGCTTTTTTAAATGTCTTCTTCTATACAAGCTAAATACAACTTAATTTTTACATCCACATTCTCATCAGCTCCCACCTGGTGAGCAGGCAAATAACAGTTCTCAGAGAAACAAATTGTTCCATAATTTTAGCATTATCACTATTAAGCAAGAATTATCCCAAAAATACACAATAATCTTGTTCTTACATTCAAAAATTGATTGTCACATAGTGAAATAAGCACTTAATGCGAAGAAATGTTTCTTTTCAGGTTTCTATTCTGGAAAAAAAAAAAAGATTCCTGGCAGAGAGATAAACACTAATTATGCAACTATCCACAGTGCCTCAGGGAAAAATAATGTCATCCAATTAGTTCTTTAAAGTGTTACAAATGCAGCTGAGTTTTAAGAGTAATTTGTCCATAATTATTACAAGAATCTTTAAAAATCTTAATACTGAAATAATAACCATAAATGGATATAAAATGTAAAGCAGAAGAGTTAACATTTAGGGTAGATTTTGGCCCATATTTTTAACACATGCATAGTTATTATTTATCCAGCTGAAGGACATCCTGCTCCTCCTAGGCTCTTTAAGACTGATTTTCAAACACAAAGAGGGTGACAGTTACCGACTGCCGGCTTTTCTCCGAAAAAAGCACAGGGTGAAATGCTCACCCTGTCAGGAAGGTGTCAGGAGGTGGTGAGTTCCCGAGGCTGGAGCCCTGTGAATGGGGTTTGTGCCTCAGAGCTCCGTCACCCCTCCACCATGCCAGGGCCAGAGAGAAGGCGTGTGCAAACCAGGAAGGGGCCCGCACCAGAACCCACCCAGGCGGCACCCTGATCCTGCCACCTTCCAGCCTCCAGAACAGTGAGAAACAAATTCCTGCTGTTTACAAGCCACTCAATCAATGGTGTTTTGTTCCTGCAGCCTGAGCTGCCTGAGACCAATGGACACAGTCCTACAGAGACGGCTACTCCTCTGTTCCAGAAAGAGGATCTCTCGGCTGTCTACTAGGGCTTAGTTAAAACCCCTGTGTCTCCTCTACGCCATGACAGATCCCACCTCCACCACCTACTAGGATTAAAGCAAGAGGATCATTTTAGACTAGCCCCTCCACGTCAGTCTGAAGTCTGTAACTGTGCCCACTTCCATGGTGGCCGTGTCACTGGACTCCCAACACCAGCTCTGTACACTGGTCCCAGGCTCTGCACACAGACCCTTCCAGCTGCTCATCCAGCATACCCATTTCCCCTTCTGCTTTGCAGACTGTCCTTCAGTATCCAACCCCCCTCTGTAGCCCAAGGGCTTCCGATCTGGCCATTTGGGGTGAGTCCAGCCATGCACTGTAGTCCTTGGCTCAGGTACCCCAGGCCCAAGCAGCTGGCACCAATGCTCCTCTGGCTGCAGGGCCTGCACAACCACTACCCAGCCCAGGGCCCAGGAGGAGAGGCAGAGGAAGCTGTGAAGCTGCCAAGAGCTGAGACGTGACAGGGAGCCCCTAAGATGAGGTGGACGCCATAGAAGGAATTCAGAGAAAGAGCCCCAGGGCTGGATGGGTCGTGCCCACAGCCTGCACCGCTGAGCCCCAGGGTTGCATGGGTCCTGCCCACAGCCTGCACCGCTGAGCCCCAGGTTTGCACGGGTCCTGCCCACAGCCTGCATCGCTGAGCCCCAGGGTTGCACGGGTCCTGCCCACAGCCTGCACCGCTGAGCCCCAGGGTTGCACGGGTCATGCCCACAGCCTGCACCGCTGAGCCCCAGGGCTAGATGGCCACGCTCGCAGCCTGCACTGCTGAGTTTTTCAGGTTTCTGAACTCATTCAACTGCTGGCCCAGGCAGCACGTGTTTCCTGAGTGCTGGCCCTGTGTGGCATTGGATATGGCAATAAAGTAGGACCGGCCCACCCTCCTCTGTCCCCTGCCCCAACATACATGGGGCCCCCATCCCGGCGGGAAGTCAGGACATGTACAGGCCTCGGTGCCCAGGTGGCACCGCGAGCCTGGGAAGGGGGGTGTTTCAGATGGAGAGTGAGTGCAGCCTTGCCAATGGGCCCAGCAGTCACCTGCGCTGCCACAGCCAGGCTGAGTCAGGATCAGCTCGCACAGAAACCTGACCCTCTCATGTGCGCGCCTAAGCTCATCAGAGACAGAAACTGTCTCCTGATCATCTTTATCACTTTCTCTACATGTCTACTCACACAGACTATGGAGTTTCAGAAGCACAGCTGTGACTTTGGAGACAGATCCTCCCCCTGTTCCTCTCCTTGGTGCCACTGACTGGGAAGGGCCGGTATGGCCGCAAGGCTGCACACCCACAGCCACCCAGCCGCTAAGACACGGACCTCTGACGATTGCTTCTCCCAGAGAACACTGCTCCATCTTGGAGAACACCATGGCGGGCAGAAAGCTCTGAGAAAGAGTACACTTCTCCCCAGAGCCAACGGAGGCACCCCCACCCTGCATTTGGCAGTTTACTTACATTCTGAAAAATATCTGAATTAATGAGGGACACTAAAATGAAAAGTTCATGCCAGAAAGTTTAGAAGGCCCAAAGGTTTCTGAACCAAGACTGCTGGGGTCCATGTGCTTACAGGGAACGTTTCCACATGGGCCTTCAACAAGCAACGCTCAGCAGGGAGGGCCGCGCTCTGGGCAGAGACAACACATCAGATGCAGCCAAGTCACATCAGAGGCTAAAACAACTGAAATACAGCGCTCTTCTAAGATCTGCATGCTACCTGCAGAAAGCGACTAGAGAGTAATTTAAGGTGGAGGAAGAAAAGGATCAAGTTAGACATAAAGTCATTGCTGCATACACAAGGACTTCTATACCTACTGGCTTTCTGAGAGTAACAACTTCAACATGAGTACACATCTCAGTTGGAAGGAGTTTGGGTTTTCCATGGGCAGAGACAGCCGCTCTCCAGGAAACGTGAACCCTTTCACACCCACTGAGCCATGTGCCCCTGGGGCCAATCCGACCTGTCTCAGGACCCCCGGCTCAGCCTCCAGCCAGCCCCTTTCAGCACTCACCCCTGCTGCTCCCAGAGCCCGCAACAGCCCAGGATCTTGTCTTCTACTGCTGTGAACTCTCTGCTGCCAAACTTTCACTCTGGGGCAAATAAGCTGGAAATGAAAAAATTACAGGATGCTTTGCTTTTTAAAATTTTGTCTTCTCAGAAAACAAGGAACTAATTCTACTTCCACGGTTTAATATGTTGCCTCCATCTGCATGTTCATGGATATATGTTTTTAATGTATATTTTAATCAATACTTAGAAAGGCATGCACTGTTGACTACATTTAGTTTAATTACATTTGAAGTAAGAACTTTTAAATTCAGTGAATTTAAGCACTCAAAATTTAAGCCCTCTGACATCTATTAATTAAATGAACCCAACAACCCAAGAGCCTCCCCTGAAGTGTCTGGAACACGAGATTTAAGGAGCAGCCTTGCTCCCAAGATGGCCGTTGGTGATAAGGAAAATTGGTCAAAAAATCATCCCTCCAGCCCTCAGTCACGTGCTTAGAGGTCTGGCTTCCTCTTTGCCCCACAAAGCCCGACTCTTGGTCATAGCTCTGCTGCTCGCTGGGGTGAGACTGCAGGTATCACTGCGCCTGTAAGGGGAGAAGCCGGTCAGGACACAGGATCCTGGCTAGCCCGGCAGCGCTCAGGCTCACCAATACCGTAATTAACTTCGCAGTGAATTACTTAAGGTTTATCTTCTGAATAATTTAGATAGGTATATTTTAACAGGGAAATCCTCAACATAGAATACAGGCCACACCGTCACACAGATTCTATCTGGCCAGCACTATTTTTGTTTGCCTTTTCAATAGACTTTTTAAAAAGCAGTTTTCAGCTCATAGTAAAATCAGGAGGAAAGTACAGGGTCCTCATGTATCTCCCTCCCCAGCACAAACATAGCCTCCGCCTTTCTCCCGCCCCCACCGGACCAGCACATCTGTACAACGGACAGACCCCCATCAACATGGCACTACCACCCAGAGTCCACAGCTCACACCAGGGCTTGGACCACTGCTGCTCACTCTGTGGGCTTCACAGACGTAGGACAGCATGGATCCCCCCACCAGGAAAGCATCATATGGAGTAGTGCTGAATAATATTCCATTTTCTGACATACCACAGTTTATCCATTTGCTTGTTGAAGGGCATCTTAGCTGCTTACAAGTTTGGGCAATTATAAATAAGGCCGCCATCAACATCTGTGTGCAAATTTCCGCATGGACGTAAACATTCAGCTCCTCTGAGCAAACGTCCAGGAGTGTGATTGCTCCTGTGGTCAGAGGGCTTGGTTCCACGGGAAACTGCCACGCTGTGTTCCCCAGCAACTGCCCAAGTGAGGGTCCTGATGCCCCACATGCCCACTGGCACTCAGCGGTGTCAGAGTTCCGGTTTTGGCCACGCTGCTGGCTGTGCAATGGCACGTCACCCTGTGCTATACGACGTGGCCGCCTTTTCGCTTGTAGATTTGCCATCTGTGTATCTTCTTTGTTGGGGTATCTGTCCGGGTCTTTGGTCCATTTTTAACCAGGTTGTTCATTTTTTATTGTTGAGTTATACAAGCTCCTTGCAAGTTTGGGATCACAGCATTCATCAGATGGGCCTTGTGTAGGTAAGTTCTCTGCAACAGTGACTTGCCCTCATGCTCCTGAGGCACTATGTTTTTACTTTAAAAAACGCTTTAGACAGAAGATGGGCCTTCCAGCCCACCTCTGTTCTCAGTTTAGCAGTGGTCACCACCCTCCCAACTCTGGTTCTCACCTTTTCACAATCTGCTGGCTCCATGGGGGTCCCTCCAGCCTAACTCTCTAACATATTTCCAATGAAGGCAATGTAAAAGCAGGCAATTTGCAGGCTGGAAGGAGCTGATGGAGGCCAGAGGCAGAGCATGAGGGCCAGCAGCTTCATCTCCCTCGGACAGGCAGGCCTCTCAGACGTCCCTCTGGGTCACCTCCAAATGAAGTACCCACCTTGGCTGTGGGCAGGGAGCAAGGCCTGGCCTGGATTTCAGTGCATTTAACCTGGCACTGCATTTACAGGTGAGCTTCTGTAACCGGAAACTCTACTCTCTGGGGAGAACATGGTTTTCATTACCCAAGGCTTTTAATTAAGAAACGAAAGAACAGTGCCTGGAGTGAGGATGCAGTGACTGCCGAGTAACCGCACGCTCATTTCTACCCGACGTAAAGGACCCTGCAGCGAGGACGCAGTGACTGCTGAGTTACCGCACGCTCGTTTCTACCTGACGTAAAGGACCCTGCAGTGAGGACACAGTGACTGCTGAGTTATCGCACACTCGTTTCTACCCGACGTAAAGGACCCTGCAGCGAGGACACAGTGACTGCTGAGTTACCGCACGCTCGTTTCTACCTGACATAAAGGACCCTGCAGCGAGGACGCAGTGACTGCTGAGTTACCGCACGCTCGTTTCTACCTGACGTAAAGGACCCTGCAGTGAGGACGCAGTGACTGCTGAGTTATCGCACACTTGTTTCTACCTGACGTAAAGGACCCTGCAGTGAGGACACAGTGACTGCTCTGAGTTACTGCACACTCATTATTTGTTTTTACAAATAAAGAACCCTGTGGGCCTGTTCTAGGACTTTTTAGCCTAGACCTAAAAATTTGCAGCCCAGGAAATCCTAACCATTTTAGGAACCTGAGGGGTGGGCCACGGGAATCTTGAAGAGTTTGATGCTGGCTTTGGGGTCAGCCAAGGGTGGCTGGGGCTTCCCACAAGCACTCCCGGGAGGCTGTGCACTGGCCTAAGGCTGGTTCCACCTTCCATCCTCGGTTTCCACACCCAGCGGTGACTGAAGCCCCCCTTCAGTAGCTGTCCCTGGCCCCAGGCCCTAACATCCACGTCCAGGCCCCTGGTGGGGCAGCTTCTACCCCAGGGAGGCTGAAGCTGGAGACAGCCTGGAGCGCGAGGCAATCCTGGCTATACCACTTGCTTCCCTTCCAGAAGCTGGATCCCTGAATACCTCATGGAGCAGTCACCAGCCTAGAATGTCCCCCCTGAAGGGTTTGCGAGAAAGAAAACCTCCTTGTTCCCTCAAGTCACAATACTGCAGAGCCCCTGGTCACAGCAACCTTACCTAATCAGGAGCCGTTCACACCTTTAATCAAGACATGAGAACAAAAATGCAATGGCACAGTCCTGCACACCCAGAACTCAGACCATCTACTGCTCAAATTCATCTTATTAACACAAAAGCCATGGTGGTGGATATCGGGATGAAGGCAATCGACGGCTTTTTGCTGGAGATGCGCTCTGTACATTTCCCGCCCAGTCATCTTGGAGTCAGGAGCTGCTGTGCAGAGAGAAGCTGTGCACGTCACAGGCGCGTCTCGGCCAGCTCCCAGCAACAGCGCCTGTAGGGTCCCGTCCTGCAGGAACACATGCTTGGACACCACAGTGTCCTGGGGATCCACACAATGGCACTGTGTGCTTAAAAAGTCCCACTTCATCAATGCTTCCACGGGTGAGGCAGGGCCAGAGGCCAACCTTGAGCAGCTAGGGTTCTCTGTGGGGCTGGCATCCAGGCAGGAAGGCAGCTCAAAAAGCTCTCCTCTCACTGTGGAACTTCCTAGGCGTCCACATGAACAGAGCCTAAATAACATGCAAGAAACAACAGGCATGAGAACACTACCAGTGGCTTCTAAGATGGGCAAGCTGAGCTGATCATGACACACTTGACGGGGATGGCACCAGAGCCCCTCCTGATGCCCTGTGAGGATGGCACTGCCGGTGTCTCCCTAAAACCTCCCAAGGTTGAGTTAGACTTGAGGCTCACACGGTGCTACCAGCATCTCCCTAAAACCTGCCGGAGTTAGACTTGAGGCTCCCATGGCACTGCCGGCATCTCCCTAAAACCTGCCAAAGCCAAGTTAGACTCGAGGCTCCCAAGGAGCAGGGCAGGTCCGTTAAATCCCACAAACTGAACCTTCTCCTAGGCCACCTCGTGACCTCCATCTCACAGATGGGAACCAGGATACCATGCCATAGACCCAGCCAACTCCAGTTGCCCAAGCTCTGCACACAATGCTGAGTTTCCATGTCTGCTGGCATCTAAGTGACTGAGCCTCCGTTCCTTCCTCTATACCACACACCAGTACAAGGGAAGACTTACAGACTGGATATTCACATAAAATACTGTTTAACTACAACTTCTGATTTTAAAAATAAACGTTTAATTCCTACTCACAGAGCTTAAAGTGTTCTGTCCTAAGAGGAGGCGGCTGTAATTAAGCACAAGAGAGAAAGAAGGCATCAGAGTGGTGCTGAGTGTTAGATATTCATCTAAATCTATTCACTCCTGTCACCTGCTTCCTTTGTTTTCTGCCCTTAAAATACACAAAAGCACAGTGGTTAATTCTCAAAATGACAACCTATTTTACTGATGCTTAGCTATAAAGTAGCAAACTACGTATCCCTAACTACTATCCAAAAGGGAGATACAGGAAAACAGAAAAGGCAGGAAACAGATCCTAAACAGTTAAAACAATCAGGATGGGAGGGCAGCGGCACCAGCACTTGGCCCGTTACTGCTTCTCTGAGCCATGTAGGCTCGGCAGCTCCCTTCGCCACAAAGGCTGGACAGCTCCCTTAGCGCTGAAATTACATCATCTAGGATTTCTGTTGCAATTACTTTGATAAATTATCCTTCCTGCTATGGAGAGAAACGTTTAGCTTACTTAATTTTGTAAGTCAGAGCCTTGCTCTGTCATCGAGGCTGGAGTGCAGCAGTATGATCATCGCTCACCGCAACCTTGACCTTCTGGCTCAAGCAGTCCTCCCGCCTCAGCCTCTCAAGTAGCTGGGACCCACAGGTGAGCTTCACTTCGTTGCTAACGAGTTTCTGATTCACCACTGCATGGCAGGCACGTCGGGGCCTTCTGTCTGGATGCCCACCTTGCTCACCAGCTGTGTGGTCTCTAAAGTGAATCCACTCCAGTTGCCCAAGCTCTGCACACGATGCTGAGTTTCCATGTCTACTGGCATTTAAGTGACTGACAGCCCAGAGCATCCCCCAACATGCCACCATGAGCCAGGCTTGATTCCACAGGCAACTCCATTTCCCATGATGAGATGCATCACATGAGCATAGATTAACGGGTGTCAGCAACTAACACATTTCTCAGCTCTAAGCAGAGGACCAAGGGTTTAGTTCTTTACTTATTTGCTACAGGCTTCATTCAAAACAGCTTTCTGGACTCCCATGGACAAACATCTCTAACTGGTGAGAATTCTGGCTTTATTTACAGAAGAATCAACTAGTGCCCATTTTGTAACTGCTGTTCTCATCAGAACTTGAGGCCAAAGGGAAAAATAAAAGGGGGGCCAAGGTCATGACACCCAGTTTGTGCAAGGTCAAAGAGCCTGCTGGAGGGAGTGGGAGAAGTGGGGTTTTTAACTGTTGAGTTTTAAAAACACGGCTGCAGGCCGCGTGCAGTGGCTCCAACTGTAAGCCCAGAAGTTTGGGAGGCTGAGGTGTGAAGATTTCTTGAGGCCAGGAGTTCAAGACTAGTCTGGGCAATGCAGCAAGACCCCACCTCTTTAAAAAAAAAAAAAAAAAAGACTTACTAAAATAGTAATAAAAAGGTTAATACAATAAATTACTATGTGAACATCGCACCCCCTGCTTACAGACAAGATGGCCTCTGGCTATGATGAGGCCAGGAGAGAAATGTAAGCAGGCATCACAGGGAGGGCTGGCCCCAAGCCCCCACGTCAGTAATTTCTGTGTGGTCAGTTAACCAGCATGACGTCTCCTCCCACAATCAGGCAGAAGCTGCTTCAGAGGAATGCTGCCCACTGGTGGATTCCTGACTCCGGCCAACCAGACACCCCACCCTGGGACCCTGCCTGCAGCCCAGACTAGACAGAAGGGCCTCACAGCATTCTTTCCCATCAGAAGCCGCAGACCCTGAGCCAGTCCCAGCTGTTTACAGAGGCTGCGCATTAAAGTGTCTCTGTCCAACAGCTCACCTTCGGATGTGATGCGCTGCGTCCACCTTATTTCAAATGTTACACTCACCCCAAGGAGAACATGGGACGTTACAGGTTAACTCACTGCGCGTGTGCTAGACATTCCACGAACCCCATGAACACGCACAGCAGGCTAAGAAATCCCGGAGCGTTTAAATGCCTCGAAGGGCCTCCTCCCCTCCTGAGTGCATGTGCATACGGTTCCTCCAAGACCGCACTTCCCACACCACAGATTGTTACCCTGAAAATAAAACCATCTCCTTTTTCCTTCCTCTGTAGATCTATAGTCACATTGTTAAAACTATTGCTACAAATGCAAAGAAAAGGGGAATTATATGGACTGGTCGCCGAATTCCTAGCGCGGAAGTTCCAGGGCCTCCCAGTCGAGGGAAGCTTCTACCACCCTAAAGCCGACTCTGGAGGTGAAGGCCGAGTTGGGGAAAGGCAGAGAGCAGCAGAAAGGTTGTGGTACCCGCACATCCACACCACAGGGCCCCTGCAGTTGTGTGTAACGAATTCTTGGCCTGTCCTGGGGTTTGGGAAAATCAGATGCAAGCAGTTATCGTATACTCTGCAGTGGGACCATGAAGTCTGCAGAACCTCAGAGTTACACAAGCAAACAGCGGCACGGGTCCCACAGGCCGAGCCTTGAGGGGCGCCAGTGTCAACATTTTAAAAATAGGTTTAAACTAGTTATAACTCTGTAACTTGTTTTACAGATAAACTGAGAGAACACAGGGTACCCACAGGCTCCAAAACCCTTCGCCTAGAGCTGAGCATAGAATGAAGGTGGCTGCTGCTCCAACTATGATGACTCCCCCTTACTGCCGTAGATAATCCTTGATCCAAGTGACTGAATGCTCCGCCTAAACCAGGCCTGTCCATCAGCCCCAGCAGAAGCTTCTAGAGCACGTCTGCAAATTTGTATTGGACGGATGTAAACCTGGCAAAGTCACAGGGGCTCGTCCTAGAAGCCCATCCATTTACCCACTCATGCCCTGAAGAGCCCTGCCCCCAGCTCCACACCCGCCGTCACATTGAACCACAAGAGCTGGCTTCTAGGCCCTTAAACCACTCCCACTCTCCCCTGGACAGACCTTTCTCAAACCGTGAGGCCCAGAGTAGCCTTAACAGGTGGCCCCAGCAGAGCTGGCCACTGCATTTTCTTACTGGCAAGTGAATCAACATAGTTACCTAAGTACAGCCACCAAAACAGGATGTTTTTCCACTTAAAAGACCTCGTCTCTGTCCATTTGGAATTGATATTTCACGTGTGTGTGTGTCTGTGAGCGTGCGCGCGCGCACGAGAGAGAGAGGCAGAGGCAGAGACAGAGAGCGTGTGTGATGGGGGTGGGGGGTCTTGTTCTGTCGCTGAGACACAGTGTACCACAAGCACAGTGGTGCCATCACACTTCACTGCAGCCTCGACCTCCCAGGCTTGGGTGATCCTTCAGCCTCAGCCTCCCAACTAGCTGGGACCACAGGTGCACACCACCACTCCCATTTAGCTTCTTGTAGATTTCAGGGTCTTGCTATGTTGCCCAGGCGGCTCTTGAACTCCTGGGCTCAAAGGTCATCCACTCACCTCAGCCTCCCAAGGTGCTGCAATTATAGGTATGAGCCACTATGCCCAGCCTAGAACTGACATTTCTTAAATTATCGCTGAGTTGGACATGTGAACCCCACTTACACAGACCTCAGCACACTATCGCAGCAGGTGGGTTTTTCTGAGTCTTGATTCTGTCTATTCAAGGTCAATATCTAAGAAAGGGTCAGAACTGACCCTCCGTGATAACGCCAAAGGGGAAACGCAGCAGAATCTAAGGCTATGAGAGAGAGTAAAAGGGGTGGAAAATATACATCAAAATTCTGGTGTTAAAATCATCATCGCCAGGCACTTTAAGAGGCAACTTGCTTTCAAAAACATCTAGCTGCTGGATTAACTTCAAACAAAAAGTCACCAGATTCCACAGGCAGATGCTCTGAGGGGCACAGCTTTCTAAAGGCAGCGAGATCCCTCGAGGCTGCACAGCCTGGGGCAGCGTGACAGCCTCAGGGCAAACTAAACAAAAGCTTGTTTCTCTGAAGGAAGATGCTCAAGTCCTTCAAAATACTTTCTTCTAAAAAGGTTAGACAGCCTCCTAAAACACTGTTTATAGTGCCAGTGTGCTCAGGAGTGAGAAAGGAAAACCCATCTCAGGACCCCAAAAATCACTAAGCTAAAGGGAAAAAAGTCAAGGTGGGGAGCTCCTTCAGGACAAATCTGCCACCCCTTCTATTCCTAAAACATATAGCTACTAAGACTTTAAAAAAAAAAAAAAGCCATGTACCTCCCTCACAATTGGTCCAAAAGGAAATTCCTCCAGGACAGGGGACAGACAGAACTCAGAGTCACCCTCTGCACACTGAGATAAACGCCCATCTGCTTGCTTCCTCTGGAAAGGCTAACCAGAAACCCATTTGTCTCAGATCTACCTGTGACCTGGAAGCCCCTCCTCGTTTCCAGTTGTCCCACCTTTCCAGACCGAACCAATGTCCATTTTGCACGTATCGATTGATGTCTCATGCCTCCCTAAAATATGTAAAACCAAGTTGTGCCCTGAACACCTTGGGCACCTGTTATCAGGACTTCCTGAAGCTGTCATGGGTGTGTCCTTAACCCTAGGAAAATGAACTTTCCAAATGGGCTGAGAACTGTCTCAGAAGCACTTCTGGTTTGCAGGAAGCAGGATGCTGGGTCAGAGCATCTCTCACAGCTCAGGTATGGCCGGACCCTCCTCCTCTAACCGCAGCCTATTCAGGAGAAGGTGGCACCCGCCCTACAGACCAACAGCCCTTTGGGGGCTCAGCTGGAGCTGAACCATCCTCCCCTGGTAAGAGTCAGGGCCAGGGCCGGGGATGGGAGCTGGAGAGATGCAGCAGGCATGAGGGGCGCTAGGGAAATTCCACACCATGCTAAGTCTGATCCGATGTGCTCTGGCCAACCACGCTTCTCAGGGGCATTTCCCTTCACACAGATGGATATCATCAATGTCTAGTACCCCCATGGAACAGATCCTTCCCCAGGAGGCAGACCCTTGGTTGTAACACTTGGTAATGAGGGGCGTGCCTTCCTGCTCATTCTGTAGCATTTCCTGTTACCTACTTTACCTGAATCTAAACATGGTTCCTGTTTACACTCTGCAGTGACACAGACAGCTAAACACAAGATTCAGTGTCATACCACACTGGTCACTGCTGACCTCATGTTCTTTATTTGTTCATTTATATTACCATCTTTACTCGAGATGAAATGTTACAGTCTCATCACAGAAAGTCTATGTGGGCTACAGCGGTCATACCCCTGGCTCTCAAACCTTTTATGTTAAACATGTAAAGAGCATATAGGTTCACAGGTTCAAAGAATTATTGGTATTAACTCAAGGAAATACGACATCATGTGTCATATTTCCTATTTCAGCATACTGAGAATTAAGTCAGAGTAATTATTATAAACATACACATTTATATGTACACGAGAGCCACATTTTCCACATTCCTCTCCCGCTGCTCACGTAAGCTTCTATCCTGAGGTTCACTTCGGCTGCAAAGAATATCTTCAGACAGATGGTAGGTTAGTTCCCTGGGTTTCCACAACAAATGTCAGATTGGGCAGCTTAAACAACAGAAATGGATTATCTCCCAGTTTGAAGCCAGAGTCCAAAATCAAGGTGTGGGCAGGGCCGCGCTCCCCCTGAGGGCTCCACGGAGGACCCTTCCTGCCTTGTCCAGCATGTGGGCTCAGAGTCCCTTGGCCTGAGCGCTCCACGGAGGATCCTCCCTGCCTCTTCCAGCGTGGGCTCAGGCGTCCCTTAGCCCTTGA